TTTTTGCTATAGGGCGCGTGTGCTTGCCAGAAAGACAGAGAGAGACAGAGAGACAGAAAGCGAGAAATCATCCCCCAGGGGGTATGGCCACACTGCAATCCCTTCTCCTCTATTCTCCTCTCGGGATCTTGGGCACGCACACACACGCGCCTGGTGTGAGTTTAAGCCACCGGGTCCAGGACTCAAACCGCAGTCGACTACATGGGAGTCCAGTGACATAGCCATTACACTAACTGCTGGTCCCGGTGTGTAGTTTCTTCAGAATCAGGGGATTGGCTCCAGGGATGAGATAGGTGACAAAGAAAATGGAATTTACCTCCCAGCAGAGGTAGTAAAGTTTAGAGAATGCACCATTCCTAGAAGACTTGATAACTGCAAACACTGGCAGACTCAGATCCCTCATGGAAGGAGGTTGCAGAAGGGCGTGCCTAGCAGGGCTCCTGCGGCCTCCAGGCGGGACCCGTGCACGCTGCTGTGAGAAAGAAGATAGTGCTCATCCCCTTCTCCCTCTCCCTGCCCTGGTCTTCTCTTCCTCCACCTCCTCCTGGTGGTGCAGGACCTGCGGGAGGAGTGCATCAAGCTAAAGAAGAGGGTGTTCGACCTGGAACGGCAGAACCAGATGCTGAGCGCCCTGTTTCAGCAGAAACTCCAGCTCACGACAGGCTCCCTCCCTCAGGTAGGCGCGTGTGCCTCTCCTCCCCGCCCCATCACTCTAGTCCTGCCTGCTCTCCTACCAGCATCCTCACTCTTTTCTCACGTGCACCTCTAAAGGAAGGCCATCAGTCATCACCCTCCAACCCGGGGGCCGTGGCCATCCCGGGAAGGCTTGCTTGACCCCACAGATATGCACCTTAGGTGGGTGAAAGCTACCTGGGTCCCCTCAAGCCTGGCTGTCCCCCACCTCCCAGGTGCTCCCTTTCCATCTGGATGGTATCCCTTTGGTTGACAGTGAAGGTTCGCACTTGCTCCTGCTTTGTGTGGGGAGATGGGTGGAGGCTGCACATGAAATTATTTCAAGCTCTCAAGAGGCCCCTTTGACTACAAACACGGTCTCTTCTTGGCCAGAGGCAGGGTGGGGCTGGGTGTAAGGCAGCCCAGGGCTTGGTGTCAGAGAGAGGTCAAGAAAGGAGCTTCCCCTGGGTAACTCACTGTGCACAATAGTTGCACATGCCCACCACTGACACACACGTGTGACGCTGCTCTCTGCTGCTGCCTTGACCCTGCCTTCCCAGGAGAAGCAGGTGGCTACCAGGAGCGACCCCTGGGCTGAGTTAAGATGTCAATTGAGGTTATTCTGTCAGGGTCCCCCGAGGATGGAGAGAGATAGGGAGTAAGAGGATCGAAAGCAGCTCCAGGTGGCTGAGGTAAGCAGTGGGTTGTTTCAGAGGTCAGCCAGCCTTCCCCCTCTTCCACTTTGACAAAAAGAGAAGCACTTCCTGTATGTATGAGTGCATGGACACATGCATGTGTGTATGTACAAGTGTGTACGTATGTGTGTCTCTGATGCAAACCAGGCAGCTTTGGCCCCTAGGCCCTGACGGGGAGCCCCTCTGCTCCCTGGTAAGCCTGATTCCTTACAGAGGAAGCCCCTCGTCACCAGCCTTTCTGGAGGCCCCATCTCACCAGGCCGGTGCAGCAGTGACGAGGTCTCCCTGCCCTATATCTGGCCCTGCTGCAGGGTTTGCCCTGGGTTCCCCAGAGGCCTCACCACACCTGCCAAGCCTACCTCGCCAAACCCTTCTCCCTGACCACCGATAACAGAGGTGTC